CACTCATGTGCAGCTTTCCCCAGACATGTGCAGCTGTCCTGTGGGCCGTGAATTCCTCACTCAGGACCACGAATTCCTCCTGTGAGTGCACCTGTTCCTGCTGCTCCTGGCCTTCCCGGGCTCCCCGTGTCTAGGCCTCTCACTGAGACCTAGCTAGCTGGAGCTCTCCTCCAACTCGGTGTGTGTGGGCTTGAGCTAGAGTCCAAAGTTGTGCTTTCATGTCTCAACTGTACAGGGAAGGTGAGACTGTGAGTTTCAGTTTGGGTTCTGCGGGGTGCCATTCTGTGGAGATGGGGACCATACAGCAGCATTCTTCACCCCACTCCCTGAGTACCTCTGACTCCCTCTTGGGTCTACCAGTTATAGCTGTTTAATCTTGGGCAACCTCTTTACGCTGCACGCCACTTTCCTCTTCTATGCCCCACATAGTAACGGTCGCAGCTTTGTAGAGTTGCTGTGATACTTAAAGGGATCCACGTCACTGGAGGCAGAGAGCCTCGCTTGACAAGGTGCGGTAGGTACTCCCACCTGCTTTGCCTAATGGCCCCCTGCATGTCTTTTCCTAATTCCTGGACCTTGTGAATATGTTCTTTTAAGCAAAAAGGTTTTTGCGCATGAGGTTACTTGTAGGACCAGGTTATCTTGGGCCATCCTGATCATCCCCTTGTGATGCTGATCCTTAGAAGAGCCAAGGAAGGTGTGATGATGGCAGCAGAGATCAGATGACACAGTTGGTGGCGGGGGGGGGGGGTGTCGTGAGCCATGGAGTTCTGCCCTTCCAGAAGCTGGGAAAGGCAGGGCGGTGGGTTCTCCCCTGGAGTCCAGCAGTGGGGTCCACCGTGGAGTTCTGACTTCCAGAACTGCAAGGTAGTAAGTTTGTGTTAGTTTAAGTAGCCAAATTTGTGGTGATTAGTTACAGCAGCAGTAGGTAACTCTTGCTGAGGGTTGGCGGTTTCATCTGCTCTTACTCTTGCTGACCACAAACAAAAGCTACCAGCTACCACAGTGCCAAAACCCAAATCGGGTTATGCTGAAACAGCAATGAACGGGCAGTTTGCTAAGTGCTGTTGCTGACCAGCTCTTGTGACGGACGCGCCCTGCACCCGGAGCCAGCCTTGGGAGGGTCAGCTCCTGAAGGGGAGTCCCTCCCCCAGCTGGGGCGTGGCGGCCAGGCTCTTGGGGACCTGTAGTTAGCTGGTTCCCCAGGTTGCTCTTTTGGTCTCCGGGTCTCATTCAAAGAGGGTTTCTGTGTATCAGTCGTCACTCTGGAAGTAAGATGTTCTTTGAGCAGAGCGTGTCCGTGGCCCAGGACAGTTTGAAAGCCAAGCGGGTGAGGTGATCACCCCTCTTGTAGGATGGCCGTGGTGGCTGGACTCTGCAGTCAGCGCCTCGACTGGGCTCCCTGCATGTGCCAGAAGTGTGCAGTGAGATACGGAAGGGGGGTGTGAAGTTTGGGTGGGGATCTCCAGTGTTGGCCCCCTAGGGGAGTCTTTGTAGCAAGTGAGAGTGAGACTTGCGTTGAGAGCAGCTCACTTCTCCTGGAGAGCTCTTCATGATGAGATGCCCACGCCACTAACTTTGTGCCGTTGCTTCTAAGCTGAGTTGGCTCCTGAGGCTGTGCCTGGGAGCTCCGGCAGGTGCCTCATGGACTCAGCCTGATTCCCTTTCACCCCGCACGTTTGTCAGTTCCGATCACTCCAGTGACGGCAGACTCTGTGCATTCTGTGGTTAAGAACTCACTCGACCAACAGTCCAGTCTGCCCGCATGGGGAGAGCTGGGGTGAGGCACACGGTGACCTTTTTTCCAGGAGCCGCTTGTGACTCGGCCTTTGGGCCTCAACTGGCCGGTGATGTATTCTGGCTCGGGAGGCGCTTGCGCTGTTTTTTTTTTTTTTCCCCCCTTTAGTCTACAAAGTGGGATCTCTCATTTCTTGACTGACTCTTTTGACCTCAGTGGAGAGGCCATGTTGCTTGTGCACAGTGCTGCTGCCGGCTCTGTGGGTCTGGAAAGCAAGAAGGAAACTGAAGCCGGCTGCCGTCTCAAGGCATTTTGTTTCACTTCCACGTTGCTTGCATTAAATCCTTGTTTCCTTGGCGTGCATCTGGCACGAACCACAGTAAGTTGTTAGCGTCTGTCCTGTGTGTCTCCAAACAAAACACATGAGGAATTTGGTACATGCTTTGATGCGCAGAATGGGTGGCAGTGTTGCATGGCATCGCTGCGGCCTGTTTGCATGTAGGGATGCAATAACTATGTTATCAAAGGAATGTGAGCTTCTAAGTGCCATTTACTTATTTGGGAAAAAGTTCTAGAAGCCCACAGAGTTGGCAAAGGAGCCTGTGTCTCAGATTTTATGAGACAGGCCCACTTCCTTGTGGCTGGGTTCTTATCTTCAAGCACAGAACGACAGAACACGGGAGGTTTCAAGTATCCCTGTTTGACTGGTGGTGTGGGGATGTCGTGAGAGTGTGTGGTTCCAACCTGGTTACCGGGCCGGTCTCTGAAAGCAGGAAAGTGGAAGAACCTGAGAGCTTTGCTGTTCACCCAGCCAGGTGCCTGCTTGCACATGTCTTGGCCATGGTCTCTGGTGCTGGGTTGACAAATCAACTTCCTCATTGGAAGGTCCTGGCGGGCAAACAGCGGCCATCAGCACCAGTTCTGGAGGCCTCCAGGCCCAGGTTGACAGCGACGTTGGATCTGCCCATGGGGTGTCCTGCATTTTGATCAGCAAGTCTCCATTCTGGCTCCCCATCTCTCCTCACCCCGGGAAAGCTCGTACGGCCTGTGTTTTGGCTTCCATTAGTCTGTAGACATGGGACCTAAACATTCAGCCTGGGAGACTTTGAGCAGTGCAGGTCACGCTACTTCTTTTTCGTTAGCTTTGCTTTCGTGCACACCCGGGCTTGGTGTTACCCTGCCACATAGCCAGGCATTTTAAAGAGAGCAGTAGGTAGGGGAGGGTGGTGACACGGAGCATACCTGTATGACTTTGCTGCCTCGTTCGCGTTCTTCATTTGAGTCTTTCTGGATAGAAAGTGTTAAACTTTATTTTGTTAATGTCAATGTTAAACTCTTTGGCTTTCATTCCTTGTCAGCCGTTGTGTAATGACTGAAAAAAGAAAATAGGTCCTATTTTAGCTTCCCACCGAAAACAGCTCTCAGCTTTGACATTGGTTGCTTCACTTTCTTGTCCATAGTTATTTTTTATGTGAGTGTGCGGATCAGCAGTTTTGGACTATATTTGGGTTTTTTCAGCTTTTTACTTGCTTGATGTAAAACTGCACGTTAACACAGTCTGTTAGTCTGCAGGCCAAGAGAAGGCACACACACAGGCTTAGGGCTGGGGTGGAGCTTATCCCAGGACAGGGCCTGGACTGTGGATTGTGGCACGGGAGTAAAGTCAAGTCTTTGTGTTGAGCTGTGCATCTTGGTACAAATTATTTTACCTTTCTGAGCTTTAACTCTCCACTGTACCATGGAGATTTCTCTCTCTCAGATAAAAACAAACAAACAAGTCAAATGACCTGAAGGCAAGTATTAGCCTGTTTTAGAAGTTAGATTTTTTTTTTATCTCTATAGTTTACTGACCCTTGCACCACACTGAGGTGGGGTGGTCCCTGGTATCTTTGGGTTTGGTTTCGAAACCCTTGAAGTTACCAAAATTCACGCCCCTTATAGTTACTGGCCCTGTATATTCTCAGGTTCTGTAGCAACAGATTCAATTTTGGCCAACCAACATTTATGGCTGGTTGAAACCACGAATGCTAGAAGTAGAAAAATAATCTGTGTGTAAGGGGACCCATACACCTCAATCCCATATTGCTCAAGGGTCAGCTATAGTTTCGTCTCCAACAAAGGATGCAAGAGCTCTGTAGGCCTTTGCAGAGCAAATTCTAACATTTAAGCGTGGACTTTAGTTACCTCCTTGCTGCTGTTGGCACTGAACTGTCTTCAAATCTTCTGGGTTTCTCTGGGTTATGTTTGACATTCGGGGAAGGCTATCTGATTAGCCGGCTTTGGGTGTTCAGGATCCTGTGTTTGAGATCTTGGCCTCCAGCCAGAGCTCCCCAAGCCCTGGGGATGCTCTCAGGTGTTGTAGCATTTTATGGGCAGGTCCTGACCTGAGTGGGCATTAAAAGGCCAAAAAATGCTGTAAGGAATAATGGGAACAGTCAGATCTGAGGAAGAAGAGGGTAGAGCAGGGAATCAACATTCCCCCAGCACCTGATGGGTGCTATGTGGCACAGAGGACAGAGGCAGCCCAAAGAGGGCACCAGATTCAGGATGCAGGGGCCTTGGCCAGCATATCTGTGGAGTTTCTGCACGTGTGAAGTGGATGAGAGCTCTGGGGCATGCACGCTCTCTTTTTTTAAAATTTATTTCTTTTAAAGATTTATTTACTTATGCGTACAGAACTGGGGTACAGGCCAGAGGTGAAGCAGAGTAAGAGGATTCACCAGAGACAGAGTGGGGAGCAGAACAGGCAGATCGATGAAGCACACTGCTGAGGGGAGCAGCAGGCGGGTCAGGAGAGGTCTGCCGCGCCATGTGGTCACCTCCGGGGCAGGCTGGGATCGAACTGATGCTGAATGGCTTTAGCTTCTCAGTGCTGCGCTTTAACCCCTGCGCCACCAGGGAGGGCCCACCTCTTTTTTAAAGGTTTATTTTTTCATGCATACAGAACTGGGGTACAGGCCAGAGGTGCAGAGGCGGTGAGAAGCTTCACCAGAGACAGAGTGGGGAGCAGAACAGGCAGACTGATGAAGTACACTGCTGAAGGGAGCCGCGGGCCGGTCAGGAGATGTCTGCTGGGTCAGCTCCAGGGCTGGGGCCTGACTCGCGCTGAAGCGGCTGCGGCCAGCTTGCAGTGCTGTGTCCTAATCCATTGCGCCACTGGGGAGGGCCCAGCTCTGAGGCTCTCTTGACTTCAGAGGAATAGGCTTCCTTTAAGCCTTGACTCCAGGCTAGGACCCAAGTAATCTCTCATCTTTCTCTCTAGGCCTTTCAGCAGCCCAGCGGAAGTTTGCACATTCACTCAGAGACTTCAAGTTCGAGTTCATTGGCGATGCGGAGACTGATGACGAGCGCTGCATAGGTATGGGAGTGCGAGATTGTAGTTGCTTTCCTTTGTCTGGACCACTGCTTCTCACTCCTTTCTCTTTACAGATGCTTCCTTACGTGAATTTTCAAATTTTTTGAAGAATCTGGAAGAACAGAGGGAAATCATGGTGAGTTGTGGGACATAAAGTCCTACTTTCAGGGGGAGAAAGTCTGGGTTTAGAAACTGCTTCTGGTGGAAGACTTGATGTCTTTCTGGATCGGGGAGAGCAGAGGTCATGGGAAGAGACGCAGGTGAGGTTCTCGGCACCCCGATTTCTAGCCCCACAGCGGCACCGACTGGTGAGATCTCAGCCCAGTTTCTGCTCCCGTTGAGCACGCTCCTGTTGCGTTGTCTGTGAACTAGCGGGTGTACTGCTTCGGGGTGCTCTAGACTCTTGCTAGCAGTCGGGTGCTTTCATTTATGTTGCATCTCAGGCAGACCACTTGCCAGGAAGGTAAGAGCCAGCAAGCTTCCAGGCCAGCGGGTCTTCATCAGGGTAGTGTTAGAACCTGACTTGTACGTCCTTCCGTCAACTTCTGGGCTGTGGGAAGGGGAGAGGACATGAGCTTGACGCCCCGGAAAGCCCACTTTGCCTGGGGATTCGGGGCCATAATCATAGTAGGGGGTGGGGGTGTCTTTCCACCTGCCTGGTGCCTAGGGTAGATGCCCATGTTTAACACATCCATGTATGAGTTTGAGGGGATTGAATATTTTCCCACCTTCCTTCACAAGCTTGTCTTTGCATTCTAATGGCTGGTATCCTGCTTCACACTCACGTGGTTTCTAATCCTGCTGCCAGTGGATTATGTAAATATCATACACTATTCTGAGGCTTAAAAAAAAATGGCGACCTATTTTTTTCTGTTCTGGAGAATGGGTATGACCTAGAATTGGGGTGACGTGTGGGTGTGTGCGTGGGTTCAGGTGCGGTGGTGGTAATACCGCTGCCTGTGATGGCTGCGCTGCTCAGCCTCCGCCGGCGGTGTGTCTGTGCCGCCTTCCTTCTGCCCACTTTCATTGGGGCCGCCACTGCCAACCCAGGAGGAAACGGCAGCTCAGACCCCGGACAGGGCGGTCGTGACTGCCACAGCCACACTGAGTTCCTGCCCTCGTGGCCAGTTTTCTGGATGTTCTGTGCGTGCCAGGTGGTAGCTGGTGGGCATTTCTGCTTTGTGGATGTGCTCTCAGGGAGCAGGGGGGTTTGGTTGAACAGTGACCTAGGCCACCGAAAGCCCAAGTGTCATCTACTGTCTCCAGGCGCCGTGACTGTTGGCACGTGCTGCAAACCCTGTACAGGCAGGAGGTGGGCTGTGGTCTGTTAGGTTTTTCTGACACAAACAGACACAGTCCTGCGGCCACTGATTTTTCAGCTGTTTAGGAAAGTCTAAATGTGGGGATGGATAAAAATAGCCCCGTGACGTCGCCTCTGCACTCAGAGTGGGCGCCAGCATGTGGGTGCGCGAAGTGTCTCTCCTTAGCTTGGGCTGATGGCATCGACGTTCTTGTTCTGAGCGCCACGAGACAAGCGAGTCCCAGCCCGTGCCCTCATGGCTTGTATTCCAGAAAGGGGAGGTGATCATGAACATAGAGCCATTATCGGTAGCAGTGAGTGCTACAGAAGGAATCCCAGGAGGGGGTGACTCGGGCGGGGGTGGGGGAGCACTCCATCTGGAGCGGAAGGGAAGGCCCTGGGCACAGGTTGTGAGGAGGAGCCGGGTTGCTCTCATGCTGGTGACCCACCAACCATCCCGACACTCCGTTTCTGTCTCTTATTTCTTGCGATGACGCGGCTAAGTCAACTAGCTGGAATGTGCTCCTCGCTCCAGGTTGGTGCTGTGGATAGCAAGGTCTTCAGTCTCTGCCTTACTGACTCTGCCTTCAGCTGTGATGGGGGTTGGGGAGGAGGGAGATGACAGCTCTCGGATTCCACTGCCGGGGAGAAGTGACAGCGAGGCCTGCACCAGGCGGGCGCCTCAGAGAGGCGGGAGGGGCCTTCTGTGGGGCCATCACTGCCTGCCTGGCCGCGGGGACCACCTAAGCGCCAAAGCAGTGGAGGGGCGACCCCGAGCAGCCAAGCAATGAGTGGGACATCTGTATCTGTTTGTTTTCAACTGTTTGGTTTGGGAAGTTGTTTTTTTTTTCCATTATATTTATTTTTTTCTCCTTTTTTTTATTACAAAAGTTTTTTTACATCATTTTGTACATTTTTTTCCCCATCTCAATTGTAATCCCCGCAGGTTTCCCATCACCAAGTCACCCGTGTGCCATCACCATAATACCATGCACTTCCCTCCCCCCACCCCGTTTTTGATCCCATTCCCCACTCCACCCCCCCCCCCAAATGTCTCTGGTATATGGTTGTTCATTAATTTTGTTATTTTCTCGCCTGGTCCATTATACTCCTGCTATGAGTGAAACCATCCGGTATTTTTCTTTCTCTTTCTGGCTTATCTCACTAAGCATGATCTTTTCCAGCTCCATCCAAGTTGCTGCAAAAGACATGTGTTTCTCTCTTTTGGTTGCTGAGTAATATTCCATTGTATATATGTACCACATCTTTTTTATCCAGTCATCTACTTTTGGGCATTTGGGCGCTTCCATGTTTCGTTTGGGAAGTTTTAAGTGTGTGCAAAAGTAGAGAGAAATACTGGACTGTATGTGCTGAGTAGCAGCCTCAGTGGCCACGTAGCCAGTCTTATCTACTTCTCCTGTGCCCCGTCCTCCCATTCTTTCGACACTGGCTGATACGGCTTCATCCCTGGGCACCCCAGTCTGTGGCTCGAAAGACGAGCTGGGCTTTTGAACCATCCCTGTCCCACCTAGAAACAGGACCAGGATTCCTTAACATTCCTGAGCATTCGCTCAGATTCGGTCTTACTGGCTGTTCACGCGCCACCTCGCCCGCCCCGGTGGTCTTGTTTAAGTCTAGAGCTTAAGCGCTTTGCATCTGGCTGCTCAGGCTCAGCCTCTGCTCATCTGTGGGTTTCCTTTCCCTCACTTTCTTGTTTTTTCCCCCTTGAGAATAATTCTTGATCTTTTCTATTAGCTTTCAAAGACCTTTAAGGTCGGACTCTTTCTGAGATCTCACTGAGTTAAAATAATCACAGTAGAGAAGTTTGGCTGTTAACCCATATTGATGATACTTGGGCACTTTTTTTTTCTAGTCCGTGATCACTTGTTTATACCATGAATAATGCTTGGAATGATAGCTACTTTTGCTTCTTGAAATAGCTTTGAATAACTAGGAAAGACATCATTGATACTTTACCAGACACCAGCCTAAAATTAAAACCAGTTTTTTAATTTATCACTGTTTTTCTAACAGTATATAGGTATCAAGTGTCCATCACCATAAATCCATAGTGTTACGTAACCATTTGAAGCCCAATCGCATTCCTCACCATGCCGTTGACCTCTTTTATCTGACTTCTCCATCTCCTCTCTTCTGGTAACCACTAATTTTGGTTTTATAACCTAAAAGCTTATTTGTTTTATTGATCATCCCTCTGCTTTGAAATCAAATAGAAGTGAAATCACCCAGCATTTACCTTTCTCCTTCGGACTTACTTCACTAAGCCAAACACCTTTTGGGGCCATCCATATTGTCGTGAATGCTGGGTTCCAAGATTTTTTTTTTTAATAATTAACAGCCTGTGTCCAGACCCGCCTTTGGTTAGCCAATCATCTGTCTGTCGATGGGCCACTGGGATTGTTTTTCCAAGCTTCTGTGAACACTGGACACAGATCTCTTTTCAAATCAGTTTTCATGTTTTTTTTTTTTTTTTTTTTTTTTTTTTGTAAATAGCTGGAAGTGGGATAACTGGACTGTATGGAATTTCTACTTTTAATTTTGGGGGATTCAAAAACTGTTGGGGAGCGGGTGCATCCCCAACAACACTACAAGGCCTCACTGCTCTCCACATCAGCTCCTGCACTTGTTGCTTATGTTTTTGATAACAGCTTTTACTGCAGATATGAGATGATTGTGCTTTGTTTTGATTTGTGTTTCCCGAATCATAAGAGATGAAGCACATTTTCCATGGGTCTGTTGGCCAGCTGTGCATTCTCTTTGAAGGAGTGTCTCTTCAGATCTTCCGAACATTTTTTAATTGGGCTATTTTGTTATCGAGTTGTATGAGAGCTTGATGTTATTTGCAGATCAACCTCTTGTTGGATGTATGATTCCCACATTACCTTCCCTCACGCAGTAGGGTGTGTTTTGTTCCCATGATAGTTAAAATTTGAATCGGAAGAAGGAGAAGGCTCTCCCTTACACAGGTCCAGTGTGGTCCTGGAGAATGGAAGAAAGTGAATTAGAACACCTCAGCTTTCTCCACTCCTCCTTTGCTGGCATTTAGCTTGTTTGCATAATGGTGCTCCAGGGGACAGTTAACACTTAGATTTGGGGGAGGGGACTTAGATTTTAGAGGCTGTTCCTGGGCTGAGTTGGTGGATGAATCTGAATCTGCCAGGTGAAGAAAGAAGGGGTAAAGTACTGCTTTCCTCCTCTGAGGGGAACCTCGTTGAGCTTGGGGAGCAGGGACAGCATGTTTGCTGGCTGCCCACTAGCGTCCAGCTCTGTGCTTAGGAGTTGGTGGTGGCGGCAGTGGGAAGAAGCCAGCCTGGGAAGGTAGAGCGTTTCCCTCCGCACACCAAAGTCCAGCTTTTATGAATGGCTGTGCCTCGCCCTTCCAGAGGCCAGTATCGTCCCTTTCAAGATGTTTTCAAGTGAGTGGTTTCTGCTGATAAGTTGCCACCCTCGCCTGTGAAAGTGGATACCTCAAGTTGGGGAGCTGAGTATAGCTGTGGCCAGAACTGCCCTGCTCACTTCCGGGCCTGTTCTCCCAGGAGAGCCCCGGGTGGTGTTCGGCTGCCAGATTCCCGAGATGTTCTCTCTGGCATGGCAGGACATGGCGTTCTTATCTGGGGTGGGCAGCTGTCCAGGAATTTGAGGACTTTTAAAATAGTGCTGTCGTGGGGATGATGTTCTTTGAAAAGCCCTTCCTATTTGTCTCTACTTCTCTTTTAGTCTTTGTCCTTTGCCTGAAGAGGACCAGTCGATTTCTGAGGGTAATGGAAAATCAGGGCTGTTGGGCGAGATCCAAAGCTTTAGGAAAGCTCCAGCCA